AGCAAAGTTTCCAGAAAAAAAAATTATCATGCTCTTCATTTTAATCTTAAACCCCCTGCACAGTAAATTGAAGGTGGTGGGGGACGGACACATGTTCCAAACACACTCAGATTAGAGGGAAGAAATCAACAGCAGAGACCAGGCTGGGTAAAATACATTTTGGAAGACAAAGTCCTTGTGAGATCCTAGAGAGTCAATTCCAGTTTCCTGTAAGGAGCTGTTGGCGAGTGGGCAGCCTGGTTTTGGGTTCACAGCTGCAGCAAAACCTGCCCAGAGTGAATGCAGTGAAAGGCACAAACCCAACAGGAGCTTTTTAGAGCTGAAGCTGATCTTAGCTCCGGGCTTAGGAATTTTATATGGAGACTCAGAGCAAGGCAGGAATAGATGGCCTTGCTGTTTAGAAAAACCTCTGCTGGTTCCTGGGATGTGGATGGCTGGGAAGCTGAAGGAGCTTCCAGCATCATGTGTGGAACAGATCCCTGAGTGGCTGCTGCCAGCTCCATCCCCACTTACCTGCACTGCTGGGTGTTGGGGCCTGGGATATGATGTGCTGGGACAGAAGCAGGGATAAGGATATTTTTTGGATCGTGGCTGGAGGAGGAGTAGGAAGATGACTTTATAATTGCTTTTTTATCACTCTTTCTGACTATATTGACTTAATACCCGACTCAGCTTTGGCTGGCAAGTAAGGCCCAGATACATTCAGAATTAGATATGACGAGGCTCATTCTTACATGAGAAGGAAATCATCGGTTGCTACAGAAACAGCTCCATATCAGTCTCGTGGGGCATCTTTGCATCTGGCTTTCTTTCCCTTCTCTTTTGCTAATCTGTAGATAAGAGTCAAAGTAAGTGCAGCACATCCCACATCTATATAAAAGGTTGGAGGAACTCTGCAGAGAGCAAAGTGTGAAAGAACATCTCATAGATAAGCTGAACTTAAATGAATGAGTTAATTTACACTCCCCCTGCAATTTTTTTTTCCTAGTTTTGCAACTCTTGCTAAGTTAATTGAGGTGAAAATTAAGTGACACCAGTCAGCAAATATTTTAAAGACCTCCAAAACCAAGGAAGAGAAAGGAGGTGCTTAGAAAAAGAGGTACTTAGGAAAGGAGTTACTAAGAAGCAGGAAAAAGTCTGAGGGTTGAGTTAGAATCTGTGTCGAGAAAATTGCATCTTGCAATGGAATAATAATCCAGACTCACTTTCATTCAAGTTGTTTAACTTGATAAATTCAGGAATTAGTTAAAAGTAAACTGGGTGAACAGGGACCATTCTGCACGCTGCAGACCAGCTCACCAGCGACATTCTTCAACTGGTTTCCTAAAATGCAATGAATACTTGATGCTTAGTAGATTAATATTTATTGAGTGAATCAATGCTTAATTTATTAAAAAATTGCCTTCCTTGTATTTTAATATGATTTATTACTCATCAGTGCTTATTACATTAATTAAAGATTGTGTTAATTTTGTGGAAGTGAGCACGATCTGCTGCAGGTTTGCTCAGAGCCCTGGTGCCGTGTGGGGACTGCGCCTCTGGGTAGTGCCAGCGATGGAAACTGCTCCAGGTGGGAAGCAGAATGAATCACCAGTGGCCTCCTCCTGCCCTTGGGATCTCCAACAGCCAGCAGAGTGGAAAAGAGGATGCTGCCCCTTAAGGGCAGGACAGGATTACAGCAGCAGCAGAGATACTGTGATGATGCAGGGAATATTTCTGTTTGCCTCTTATAAATGATGGCTGAGGCTGTGGGGATCATTTCTGTGTCTCTCATGGAATGCCCTTTTGTCAATGTGGGTGAAATCCAGCCTTAGAGACATGGGAAGCTGTCACCACTTTCCCAACCAGGGATGACACTCATTGCATTTCAGTGCCCAGATTGTAGGAAATTCTTGGGATAGTAGGATGCCTGAAGATTGGGATGGTCCCAAACATCTAAGCAGGGGCAGGTGTCTGAGAAGTGGAAAATTCCTAAAGGCAGAACAAAAAAAAGCCAGACATCTTGTGAGCTGAGTCTTTCAAGAAATCTGTCAAAACAGGGAGAGGGTGATCATGCTGGAGGGGGGGCCACAGCTGCAATTTGCATCTTTCAGCACTGAAGAAAGAAGCAAATATATAAAGCCCCACAGCCACGATTCTTCCGATGAAATTATTTTATTAATGGGTGTGACATTTGTAATGTCTCTCTCTTTAAATTCAAATACTGCTGTTTTTATAGCTACTCATAAGTGAGTCTGTCTGGTTTTTTAGGTTTTTTTTAAATCCATCTAGTTACTAGGCTGCTTGCATCCAGCTGAGCCCTGGAAACGGCAGAGCTAGCCCTGAGATCTGAGAGCAGGCAGGAATTTCCGGAGAGTGTCCATAATTAGGGCATTTTTGCATGTTTAAATGCACGATTCTGTTTGCTTCTCTCCAGGGCTGGGGTGAGTGTACACAAACTTCCCTTGACCAGTTAAATCAGAGAAACCTCTTCAAGGTCCAGTGAAGGTCAGAGCTGGGAATTTTTTCCTCCCTCTGTCACCAGGCAGGCAGGAGCCACCGAGCTCCAGCCTGGAGCACTTGGGTGGAGCCAGTGCCAAGAACCTGGTGGCATTTCAAATCCCTTGCAGCAGTTAGGTGTTAGATGCAAAAGATCAGAGCTGCTCTACTTGAAGTCAGAGAAATAACTCAGCTTAAAGTTCAACATACACACAAAGATTTCCTGGATCTGGAGTTAATTTGTTTTTTCCAAGGTCAGCTTGAAGGCAGTATTCAAACTGGGAAAAAAGTTACAAACTGAACATTTGACTTGTAATAATTTCATTTTATTTCCCATTTGTTTGACCTCTCCTATATGCTTTTGTTTTCCTGACGTATCAAGCTAAGCTATTTTGGTTTCTTATTTAATGTTTATTTTTACCCCATTTAACAGGCTCAAGTCAGGACTGGGGGCCAGTTGGGCTGCATGACTTTCTCTCTGTTCCATATCTTTACATTTTCCAACTTTTCTTTGATGCAGGATATTTATATTCCACCTTTTTTCCTAGTAGAGAGGCTTTCACGGAGTATAGGCTTCGGATATATATTTTCTGCTCTAGCTGTTCATTAGATATACAGCATTTGGAGTTCCAGTTGTGCTGAGAAATGTAAGCAAAGCTTTTGGCCCAGTGGGGGCTAAGCTCTGGCATTTCACAGCTTTGTACATATGAATCAGGATTAAGGTGCAGGATCTATATAAAATTTAGCTCATTAGGAGATGTTTTGTCTCACGGCTCCCACTGGGAAGGTGGGTGCTGTGCTCACACACAGGATTTCTTACCCTGCTTTGCTGCTCCCAAGAAAGGAGGGGTGTGAGCAGGTGACACAGGCAGCAGCAGGGTATCCTGCTCCCTTTTACCCTGGAGCACCTGGGAAAAGGTTTGGCATACACTGGCCCCAGTATTTTCAACTAGAGCAAATGTGCTCGAGCACATGGGTAAGGTCGTGCTCCGAATGACTTAGCAAGAGAACAAGGAGTACCTCTGGAAAAAGAATTTTCTCTCAAATATATTTTGTGTTGTGCCAGAGGTAAGGAACTGAAGGCTAGGAAGGTTTCAGAAATGTGTTTTTTCCAGCCTGACACCCCACTTGGCTCCCCAGCAAGCCAAATTTGCTGTTGTGCCCAGCACAGCTCAAGTGTGTTCAGTGGATGACCAACAGTGTCCATGAACTTCAGCCAGTGAAGCTTTACCAGAGAGAAATGATGGGCTTGGAAAGGAGTTTCATCAGTCATGATTTCCAAGGAACAACACTCAGGGTAGGGAATACCAAGTCAATGTTTCCTCCTCAAGGACTTTCAGCTGTCACATAGGGAATCCAGTGAGTGCAGTGATGAGAATTAGATTGGAAGATCAATAGGGCTGACAATAAATGAAAGTAACACAGACATTATTGAGCAAATTAGGAGAGAGAAATTAAACTGGACAGTATAATCTTCAATACCTGCTAGACACACAAAGGCACTGTTAGGCAAAGTTAGGAAGAAGACAGTAAGTTGGAAAGTGCTATGATGAAGGGGCAGCAACAGTCTTTCCATGAGATGGGGAAAGCCCTGCTTGTGATGGAAAGCTCTCAGCCCACAGAAAAGTGGAAAAAGATGCTGATGGTCCAGGAGCACCTGGATTTGAGTGGCAAGCTACAGAGTGACAATGGTGGGGAGATCACCTAACACTGGGAACATGGAGTAGAAAACAGTGCTGGCTACACGTTGTGGGAAAAGGGAATCTCAGGTGCACCCCACCAACACAAAGGCTTTGGTGGGATAGATTGTTCCAGGCCAAAAATCTTCTTAACTTTCTCATAGTATGGGTTTGCTTACCCTGTGAAGTTTTGCAGCCATTCCAGAAAACAGTCCTGTAAGTAAAGTTGATTATTTGCCATAATAACTCTCTGTATTTTGCTATCTGTACACATATCCAGTGATGATCAAATCTGGCAAGCTTTTAGGGTGATGGATATCCGGTGGCAATGAGATCCATGGGCTGACTGCGCTCAGCATGCAAAGAAGTTTTCTTTTTATCAGTCTTGAGTTTGTCTAGATCCTCTTACATGTCTTTGAAAGGTTCCCCCCAAGGCAATATAATTGTGTTTGATCACAAACAGGCATTGAGTCAGTGATTGATATGAATAAAGAACTTAGACTTGCTTGTCCTGGTTCCATGTCTTCTTCCCTGTGGAATCAGAAATCACTTTTATAAATATATTGGTCCATCTGTGCTTCCAGCTATCCATTTCAAGTATATGTTCCAAAAAAGAAATAGTAACACTTTATAAGCGCAAATAAAAACACATGAAAAGGACTGAGGAAGGGATTTTTTCCTCCCTCATAAAGTACACGTGGATCCCTTCCAAAAGAGTTACTGTGAGCCATGTAACTTGTAATTAATCCTGCTGTAAATGTCAGAACACTTACTTTGCAGGTCTAAGCTGACCCACTAAAATTAGTCCCCTTTTAACAATTCCTTTTATAATTTGTTTTTCAGCAGAAACGGCGGCTTGACCTCCTGACAATAACCAGCCCCGGTAAGTGAGCTCTGCCGCGCCGCTCTCTCCTCTTTTCTTAAAGAGATGGTTGTCTAAATGTGTTTTTCCCCCCGTCTCTGACATGCAAAATGAAAAACACTGTTCCCCAGAAAATCTTTCACCTAATAACAAGTGACAGCTATATTGTGCTTGGCAAAGCCCCGGGCAGTTATCCGTTCACAGAGCTGCCTCTTCAGACCTTTACTCTATGAATTGGAGTGCTGATATTTCTTTAAGCCTCCTGGGGTTACAGTTAGTGGTATATCTGCAGGGCAGATGCCCTCGAATTCACAAAGTGTGTTCAAGTATCACAGAAATGCAAGCTTGACTTTCCTTGGTGGCAAACGGGAGCAGTCTGGGGAGTTGGGAGATGGTGACACACTCCGCACGTGTGGAAGGAGACAAAGTCCAGGCTCAGGGCTGAGAACCCCCAGGTGGGTCAGAAAATATTTAGGTAGAATTAAAATGCTTTAAACTACCTGCTTCATGATGGCTTTTGTCATTTGCCTGTTGGGGAGATCAACCAAAATTTGTTTGTATTGGGAAAGTGTGGGGCTCTGGCCAGAGTGAGTTTTGAAGGTCTCAGCACGGTGGTGGAAATGCAGGTTGGTTCAGTTGTGCTCCTCTGTGATCTCAGCCCTTAAGGCCGGGTGGTTTTTAATTTATTCCTATTTGTCTGGCTCACTTTCTTTCCACTAGCTGCTACAGAAGTTTGCTGCCCACCAGCTTCAGATGAAGCCCTGCTCAAATGATGCCACATTTTGGTTAACTTTGTTCATTTTTCAGATGTGTGTATGAATTAAGCTTTCAGGTGGGCTTTGACTGGGACTAATGAATTCTGGCCTTAACTGGTAATAATGTGTTAGCAGAGTGAACAGGTGTTATGAGAAGTGAACAAAATGTGACACACATTTGCTTGGATAACAATTTTGCATCAATAATTGTTCTGACACTCTAAATGTAGATATAATCTGTGACATGGTTTCTCCTTCACTAACCTTGTTAAAATAATAAGAATTAAAATAAGGAGGAGGAACACTTTGTTGGGACAGATGTTTGAGGCTATTGGCAATTGCATCACATTTTTGCATGTTCACTTTTCACGCAGTTTGCAATTATGTTAATGTATGCTCAGGGCACTTGCTGATAAAAGCAACAATACAGCGTGATACAGCTATTGTCACTATTCTGACTGTAACTTCAAGGACAAACATGGCACATTTTTCATTTTCCATATCTTCAGCATTCCCTGTTTCTAGAGGAAAAAGAAAAAAAGATCTCTGAAGGTCTTAATCATAGCACATAGTCAGATCTTGGATAAGGGCACCAAAGTCCATGACACTTTTTCAATAAGAGAAAAAGAGGGTTGGGGACCAGAATGACTTAATATGAGACTTTTCCATAAAGGAAACTTATGATACCTTTTCCATAATTTCTGATGCAATGTTCGCTGTAAAAGGGTTGATTGGGTAGAGTTTGTGCATAGATGTGATCAGTAAGTAGCTGTAGCTTCAGATCTCTGTTTAATAAAGCAATCTACTAAATGAACACAGCAATTAGGTAGAAGGATCTTCAATAACTGTGTAGGTAGGCATACTGCACTAAAAGTGGGGAGGGAAGCTTTCTGTAGCACGTACCTTTTCTGAAATGCAAGTTTTACCCTTTGATATTTAACCAGAAATCTACCATAACTGGGTACATAAGGAAAAAAAATACTACTTGTTCATGATTACATAATGAAGTGCCTGTAGTTTTGCCTTCAGTAGAGGCATTTTCAAAAGGCGCTTGGTGCTGGATCAGGCCAAGCTTACCAAAGAGCCTAAAGATGAGATTTTTCAAAGGGGTTGAAAAAGTTAGGCACTCAATTCCTAGTAGGATTGGAAAATGTCAGCCTGTGGATTAAAGGGTCTAGTTTCAGCCCTACAAATACAAAAATAAAATAAAATAAATCATAGCCCTGGGGCATTTATCTGTCTTTGGAGACTGCTACTTTAAAATATTTAATTCTTTGAGTCCTAGCTCTAAGATCTGACATTGACAGTCTGCTTTTACAAAGTCGTGATATCGGTTATGATGGCTGAGATCAGCCATAATCACTGTCAACCCTTAATTTACCCATTCAAATGAGGGGCTGAGCTGTTTAGTTGCACCTGCCAATCCTCTGGGACTTGTTTCTGTTCTTCACCTCGCCGCAGGCGGGCAGCCTTTGCTTTCGGCAGAGGTCACACAGCTTTAGTTAGAGTTGTGTCCCACAAGGGGTGTTGGCCACCAAAACCCTATTGCTTAATTGTGAGAATAGACAAAGGGCTTCAAAAGGAAAGGTGACCCCTGAGATTAGCACCTCTGTCACAATGAGTATCATCTCTCTCTCTTGTGTGTGTGTGAAGCTCTTTAACCAGTTTTCCTACCTTTAGTCAAGAATCGATGGTGAGCCCATGCAGACAGTACAACAACTCTTCTCCATGTGCTACTAAAACAATTTCCAAAAGCTGATCAGCCAATTAGTGAGATTAATTGCAAGGTAAGATTAATTGCCGATAATGTAAGTTAAGCATTGTTGAGACTCAGGCGCCATAACATTTAAAGAGAGTTTGTGGAATCACGGGAACCTTAACATTATCTCATGGCAGTCACAGTGGTTCCCTTGGCCATGGCTGTTGCATGTTTCCCCAGGAATCCCCAAAGGGTCAGAATTTGTGCCTGTTTCTCGCTCCCTGAACCTCACCCCTGCCTGTGCTGTGCTGAGCCCACACTGAGGGTGACCCAGCGCTGCCTCTTGCCCTGCTCCACATGGCTTCCAACCCCCAGGCAACATGTGCTTGGCTTCCTGAAACCTGGCTGAACAGGTTCTGGCCTTAAATTCACATCTGTATGTTCAAGTGAACAGGTATAGACCATTAATCTATACCCTGGACAGAGAGAAGTCTGGGAAAAAGTGAAAAAAATAAAAGGAACTGGAAGAAATACAGATGGTGGGAGCTGCAGCTCCAACTACACGATTTGTATGCAACACACAGGGCTCACCTCTTCCAGCACCCTAATAAAGCAGGTATGGAAAGCTCCACACTGCACCCCAAACTGGAGGAAGTCGTTGCTTTGCTGTGGATCTCCAGAAACAGCCAGACACAAATGATGCATAATCTGGGAGCGAGCCAGACTCCCTCGTGCTCAAATATATTCCTTTGAAGTAACTGATGCCCCTGTAAAATGTGGAGGGGAGTTCACAGCTCTGCCTTGCTGCTGGGTAGCTGGAGGAATGTTAAGTTAAATTTATCAATGCTCTCGCCACACTCCTTTCTTCTTGCCCCTTGACATGTGAGGTACAATTAGAGTGCAGCTGTACAGTTCAGGGTGCCCGAGTCAGAGCTGATGTGCGCAGTGGGGTGGGGGAAGGATGTTAAAAATTCATTAGGAGCTGGCAGGGACATGCTGGCAGGGAGTGGGACATAATGAGATTTAAGTTTTGGTAATTTAAATTTTCTTAAAACCCAGCTTTACCTCTGAATTGGATCCAAAACATTTCCTTAACGCTATTCTGGTTGTCTTTGAGGTTTAGGACCAAAGCTTGAGGTAGTTTAATTTGGCCTTGTTGCAAAAAAGGAGATGAGGATCTGCCCTTCATTTCTCTGTGATCATGTTCTAGTAGCACTTTGAACACGCACATGCAATCACATCACATTTTGTGGTAACCACTCAATAGCTGCAAATAAGATACCCCTGTTTCCATAGCTTTTCCATGGAGACACAGCTTTTTGCATCTCCTGTGTTTATGATAATAATACAGCTTTCCAATTTCTCTTCTCAGTAAGGTAAGTTCCTCTCCCACTGAAGTATTTTTTAATTATTGATACCATAAATGGAAGTGTGTTGGAAACTATTGGCTTTGAAAATAGCTAACATGTGATATTATCCAAGAACCATCAGGAAAATTCTTTTGAAATTCTCTTTGATTCAGCCATCCTTGGGGCTTTATCCTTCTCTACCAGTCTCTCTACTGCCAATTTAAAATAACATTCTCTTGAAATCAGCACAGTGTCAGGAGAAATTCATCAGCACCGTAGGTGCATGTTTCCCAGATGTATATAAACCTACTACATTTGGCAGCAGTAAATTGATTGCTTTTAAAAAACCTGGGGTAGTTGAATATTCCGTAGTGTCCAGCTTGGCTACAGCACAGAATATAAAGTAATTTTTTTAAGTTTCTTTCAGGTCTGTTTTAGATGAAAAAGTAAGTGCTGACTACATAATTCCTGGCTTTTGATTTACTCAGATTTTCCTAATGTGAAAGCCACACCAGAGCTTTACAGGCAGGGAGAGAGTAAAATAATCCTAATCTCCACTGAGATTTCATCAGAAATGTTAATGGTTTGTGCATGCTTCCTCCTAATATTCAAGCTCTTACACTTTTAAACGGGAAAAAGCTTGATTTTAAAAGTATTTATCAGTTCGATCTATGCAGTGAAATATTCTCCCCCCTTTAATATCATCAGTGCTGCATGCTCTAAAAATGTCTCCATTTCATTAATTTGTGATATACTGCTACCCTGAATTCTTTTAAGGTGGCTTTGGCTTCTGCCATACATATTTTACTGCTTTAAATTATAGATATAGGACTGTTGCCTAGTTAATTTCCTCTGGTTAGGAAAATATATTTCTGCTCTCCTGGCATTGCATAAAGTGATATGTGGGATTTGCTATATTTTTTAGCTGATTAAGTTTTGCATTTCTACATATTACTGCTTATGAGACCTCAAGTAAAAGTACGTAAAGGAAGGAGAAGTTTTATAGTATATTTCAAAGTTTCATTTGACTATAAATTCCACCACTAAGCCCTGCTACAAGACTTTTCCATTACCTTCCTGGATAGTCTGGCTATCAACTTCTTTCTAATTGAAGCATGAAAATAATATGAACTCAAAGTCATGAAGCTATAAGGCAGGTATTAGTAAAAATGATACCAACTAATAAAATGTGACAGAAAGTTGTTTGCTGCTAAAACT